CTCGAATGTGATCGTGTTGAGTTGCTTTGTCTTTTGTTGTTCGTTTGTTTTCTTTGGTTGCAGTACCGTTGGTTGATTGTGGAGAATTAGTTTCAGTCTAACTTTTTTCAACCGTACTGATGACTTTTTTGCGTCATACTGATGGCTTCTTGCTCAAAATGAGAAAATTCATATGTTGGTATTGTTTTTATTGTTATCATTTTCGTTGTTTTTATCGCTTGTTAGATGTTCAACTGATTGGAAACTGATGATTTAGTGGCGCTCATTTGAGTTTAAAACAAATTCGAACCGGCAAATTTGCTCGGTTCATTTGGTTTCGTTTTGCGTTTGGCTTTGATTTATGGGTCGACTCATTTGTGTGGACATATTGTTTTTATTCTTATTCATAATCAGTGGAGAATTCTGCGAAAAATTTGGAATCGCATAAATTTGAGTCTGAATATGACGGGCAATTTGTTGGATTTTTTTTAGTTTGTAGCGAAAGAAAACGCATAAACTTATGAATTTTTATTGGGTTGTGTTGAAATGCGCTCGAGTTTGGTTGTTTCATCCAGTGATGATTTATGTCATCTAAGCATTCGGCTGTGCGATCGTCTTAGGCTCTGTCCTCTTATCGTGTTTTTCAAGTGGAGAAATATCTGGCTGGATTCTATAACATAGAGAAGTTTTACTCTTTATGTGGTAGGCATCTTAAGAAAATCTATGCATAATTTCGATGTCTCCGTAGAATCCTATGTAATGAAAGGTTCAATCGTCTGACTTTATTATTGTTATTCTTATCGGGATTATGGTCAAATGTGTCACTTGTTTATCCATGTGACATCTGTTATTCATTATGTGCTGTGATTTAGTAGACAGCTGAGAAGATTCATCTTTAGCATTCATAAAGTTGATTGCACCCTGAAAAAATGGATCCAGCAATCCACCCGTCTTATATCAATCCGATATTTGTAATTAGAGTGGTTATTTAATGGATTGTGCTTTTTGCAGTCATGGAATTCTTTCGTTTGATGTTTTGTAAGGTATCACCACGCATAAAAAACATTTCATTACTGGTGAAAGCAATTTATTTAATTGATTTGCCTCTGCAGAGATATGCACATGAATGTTGCAATATATCTGTTGCAAATGCGATGCATTTTCACGAATTAGTTGATGATTTTGCAGAAAGCGGCCGATTATTATAAAGGAGAAGAGAGTCGTAGTTCGGCAACGAAGTGCTTGATTAAAGTTGCACAAGTGAGTTAGTTGCTGCGTTGATTAAAAATGTTGAGTGATTGATTGAAGTATGGTGAAGTGTGCTCGGTGGATATCACTTATTTTTGATGCTTCACTTCAGTCGAATTTTTGCGTTTTACTGATTATGTTCAGAAGGTTTTTACTTGAAAGTATTAGTGTTAGAATGAGTAGATTGCTAAGTTGAATTGGAATTTTTATCTGCATAACTGGATGGCAGTCTTTTTTGGTTAGTATTTGAGGAGTTGAGTTTGGATTGGTGACGTTACATTAAGATGCGTGGTATGGAATGGATACATTTTAGAGAGTTCGATTGTTTGAGTTTTGAAGTTTGAATGTGTGAAGTGTGATTTCAAGCATTCATATTTCAGTACGCCGCCCAGTTGGAGCAATATCGAAAGGCGATACAAGTGTTTGAAGAGATCGCCACTTGGGAGGCAGATCATCCGACATTGAAATATGCTGCTAAGAACCATTTTTTCCAGGCTCTTTTGTGTCATCTTTGTGTTGATGTGGCAAGTTTTTTGTGTTTTCTCTTTGTTCTACATATTCATGGAATTTCGAATCTGTGACGATATATTATTCATCAGTTTGCATTCATTCCCCGAGAGACGGATGATTTCGCGTTATCTGCGGTAAGCAGCAGGAGAAAAGCAGAAAAAAAAACAGAAGAACTTTAAGATAGGACTTTCAATGTCCTTTGGATGAAATTCTGCATTTCTTGATAAAAATTAATTGTGAACTGAGTTCGAAATGTGACATGATAAGTTCAAGATCGAAAGATGAATTATCTTTTAGCAGAAAAGAGATTAAAGTGAATTTGATATTGCCTGAATTGAAAGGAGTTGAACTGAATTTCAGTTGGATACGCAGCACGCGTTAAAGCGATATGCGGAGATATCGCCGTCATTCGTGGATACACGTGAATATAAACTTATTTGGTGGGTTTTGTCAAATGTCTTTGAGAGCGTTGCTTATTGGTGTCGAAGAATTTTTGTATTTGAAGTAGTAGTAAAGGTATGAGTATGAACCGGGCAATTTATTCACCACGTGAATGCGGTTGAATTTAAATTCCACAGTTAATTTCTTTCCACTTGTTTGCGTATTTGTGTTTGCTGTGTTCATTGGGTTAGGTTACTGATATCGATGACGCATAATAATGAAGTTTATTTACCTCGGTGATCCTTTTTTAGAAATTAATTGGTTATCGGGCGATGTTTCGACTTTGTTGATTTTTATGTTGTCACTGATTGATATGCTTATTTGATAATACTTTCAGTGATTTGATAGCATGTATTGAAGAGCAGAACCAGGAA